CGGCGCGGCGAGGCCCACGCCCCGGAGGCAGCCGCTCCAGCCCCAGGCCGCCGACCCCGCGTCCCGAGCTCCGCGGCACCATGGCCCAGAAGCTGCTGCTGCTCCTCTGCCTGTTCTCGGGCTTGCACGCGCGGTAAGTAGCGCGGGAGCTCGCAGCCCCGGGGCTCTGAGGCGGGCGGCCGGGCGGGCGGGAGGGCGGCGGGGGGCGCTGTCTGCCAGCCCCGGAGTCCCAGGCGCGTCCCGCCGTCGGCTGGGCTGCGGCAGAAGCCTCCCGAGTCCGGCAGGGAGGAGGGGGGAAGTGGGCCCTCACCTCACCTGTGGGGTCTTCCCCGCCTTGGCCAACAGCATCTCCTGGGCCGGCCCGGCAGGTGTAATCTTCCTCGCCGTGGGCAGTGTGGGGACGGGGAGGATTGGGCGCTACTGCGGAGGCTTCCAGGAGCTGGTGTTTTAAAGGGTTTTTGAAAGCAGTATGATTGGGGAGTGGCATGTCGCCTCTTTAGCCACCCTGTAGCCTGCCAGTGTTTCAGGGTCTCACACACATGTTCACCGAAACCCTGGACTATTTTCCTCAGTCTGAATTCTGCAGGATCCATGCTTTCCTAGCTAGCTGCCCAGTTTAAACCAGTCTGGCGAAGACCTACCAGGCTGGAGGAGGATTGGGACTAGGTGGGCCGGTGGGAGTCCTGCTTCTTCACAAGCACCCCCACCCCACCCCCACCACCACCCCAGGTCCTGCAGCAGCATGCACACAGGGCACCTCTTTCACACAGAGGCATACATACCTACCCCCTAAAGCAAGCATGTTGCAATTGTTGAGGTTTCTGCCTGGTAACTGTAAGAAATTCTCGAAGCATAAATGCCTTTCGGCTTCCTCCCAAGGAGTGAGTGGGTGCTTAGAAATGCTCCAGGAAGAGAGGGAGAAGCCTGTGGGGTTAGAAGGGCATTGGCATTGAGAGGGTTAAGCTAATGGTTGTAAATTTAACTGGAGAGTCCAGGGTTGGTATCTTTCATTGCCTCCCTGGCCAGAACCTGCAAGCTGTGCTTTGGAAATCAGAATAGCTCCCTTCTCCTCCCACTAACCCCACTCCAAGAATAACAGGACACCCTGGTTCCCCAAAACATCTTCACTTTGTGGATCTGGGCTCTGGGCTGTCAGGGAACACCCTTGGGCGCCCTCAGCCCCACAGGAAATGCCAGAGGTCTGAGTCTTCATTCATCTTTGTGAGGTAAGAAAGTAGGAAGGCACATTCACAAAAACTGAAAGACTTGACTTCCCACCCCCATTCTTACTCCACAACTTGGCCAGGAGTGTGGAGCCCTGAGGAAGAGTTCCCTGACTCTGCCCTCCAACCACCTGTCCTGGCTAAGAGTTGAGCATGTGTCCAGAGGACGGGACCCACCGGAGACTCCCCAGCTGCACTGTTCATCAGGCAGGGCACGCCAGGCCTTTCCACTAAGTTTCTTTCCATCTTAGGAGACATGGAAATGCACTTTCTGAGGCTGGTTCTGCCATGTAATAGCTTAACTGTCAGACAGCTCGGGCATAACTGAGAGGTCCCAAATCAATCCAGGTCTGAAGTCATGTGTACATGACCTTTCTATTGCCCCTGACTGAATGAAGTGGCCAGCAGCCAGTGAGGGAATCCACTGTTTACTCTGCAGATACTAGACACCCTAGAAGAAAAGCTGCAGCGTGTCCTCAGTACTTTATGGAGTTGGTGTCTAACTTGAACCAGTGAGGTTTCTAGGGATTCCCAAATATGCACTATCTTGGGATTCTTCTTCCTTCTTTCTATACAGAGAGGTGTAGTGATTGGAATTGCTTGGTTTGTTTCCCTGACCTTCCCGGCAGAGGTTGTGTATCTGTTTTTAAAAAAATCCCAAATTTACACTGACTTTATTGCTGTCTGGCTCTCCTTTGAAAGTGTCTTTGTTCTTTGAATGGGTCTTGTAGGCATAAAAAACAATCTGGTGTTCACTCGAGTCTTTTCAAACTGCTAATGCCAAGGGGGATTGCCCTCTGGAACACCTTTCTGGGGCTGCAGTGCTGGGGGTCCCTGGGCTGAGAGTGCCTGGGTGAGACACTCCCCGGGTATTCTCTGGTGTGGCCAGGTCACTCCCTGAAGGGAGAAGCTCTGCATTACAAATGAGCTTGTCATACATTGAAATGCACTAAGTTACCCCAGGACCTCAGGGATACCCTGAAGATGCCTCCCTGTTTTCTGAGACTTAGGATTCCCTTTTAATGTTTAAAAATACTGCAGACTGTCTCGCTGTTTCTGGATGAAGAGAAGGGGTAAGCCATGAAAATAACCTCTGAGAGTTACATACTTGCTTGACAGTGGCAAAACAGCACCAGTTTACTGTTAAGAAAAAGCTTAATTGCAGTGATGAGCTTAGATCCTACAGTCCTGATGAATGCCCATAAAAATGGTCTATAACCCTCTTAGAATTTAGGAAGTAATTTTAGCCTTATTCGTATACTAGTGGGCCTCCTGCAGTGAAACTTGGTTTTCATCAAAGCCAGGATTTTCCTGGGGCTGGTGGTAGTTTGGCAGTAGCATGGGAGGTTTCAGGTTCATTTTCTGAAGTACCAACTGTGAGGTTGGTACTGGAGGAGCACACTATAGAGGTGCCTACTGTCCTCCCCAATCCAGCCACAGAACTGGGGGGCTCTTTTACCTCCGGAAGAGATGCTGTTTCTTTTCCTCTCTCTCTCCCCACTCTCACTTGGCCTGGCCTCCCAGGAAGCAGCTTAGGCCAGGAAGCCCTCTTCTCACCACTAGAGGGAGAATTTGCCTCATTCTAATACTTGCTATTGAAGTAGCTCAAAGTATTTTTCAGAAACAAAGGCTGTGCACCCAGAACTGATGAGTTGGTGAGTGTGCTCAGCTTGTGTACCTGTAGCCGTGGGGCCAGTAGAACATGACAGAGCATGTCATGGCGAGCTTGGCATGGTAGGCATTGGCAGATGTCGCTGGGAGAGGGCGGAGAAGAGGAGCAAAGCAGAAGAAGAGTGGAGGGAGGAGAGACAGGGGTAAGGGGAGGAGAAAGCAATAGTAGAGGGGAGAGGAAAGCATTGTGGCCACCTTGGAATATGCACTGAGACTGTTCTGGGTGATTCTACCCAGGCAAACTGCCCCTTCCCTCTGTCCACCCACCTATCCCAAATGCCTCTGTTCCAGTGAATTTCCAGGTCCTGTGGGCAAAGGCGGGCTCCTGGCTATCCATGCCCTACAGAACCCACTTCTCCCCACTCTTTATTGTTTTTTGCAAGATAACGAAAGAAAACATTCCTGATAAAAGTAATATTTCACAGTGATATCTTAAATTCTAAACTATTATCTGTAAAAGCTCAGTTCTACAGAGAATAAAAATAAAGCACAGCATATCCCTTGTTGAATGTGTATCTCCAGTTTTGTGAGTTCTTACTGATAGTGAATGTTCAGTATGAATAAAAATCCACAGCAATGTGAGTTTCTGTGGGTGATTTATTTTAACCTCTTAGTCAATAGGTATTTAAGAAGCAGGATTAAAGTTTAAGGGCAGCCTAGGAAAACCTTAAGTGAAGTCATTCTGCAGGTCATATGTGCTTGCATCCATTATTAAAACCTTGTCTACTCAGATCCAGCTTACCTGACCCTGTTTTAGTCTACATTATGGCTATCACTAGGCAAAAAAGGCTGAGGTGTGTAAAGTATGACATATATGCGATTATATGGGTTATCATAAAATAGGATATAATGATATGATTTGTAGGCTATTGGAAGACATAGAGATAATGAACTTTTCAAAATTTGTTCTTTTTATTTGTTTTATATCCATTACAGATAATTGAGACACTTCCAAAAGCTAATTTAAGGAATCACATCCCAGAGCACGGTGGCCCTGAGATGACATTAACATTTTGCCTTCCGTCTGGGAAGTCATTTAGGAAAGTCTCTTAAACACACACACTGACAAACTGCCCAGGAAGAGGTTTGTTGCATGAGCTTCCTTGCCCTGCTAAGTGGCAGTGCCCCTGGAAATGCAGCATTCAGGCAGGAGATGCTTCTCTTCCAAGCCCCAAGGACTGATGTGGAGATAGCCTGACTCACTAAGAAAGCTGGTTTGTCGTGGTGGCCTCTCCAGTCAAGTGCTCCTGTCAAAGTGTCACCCTATTGTGTATGACACCAGCTCAGAGACACACAGACATTCATTTGGACCCATTTATTAAGGGATCAAACTGATGGTGACATATTAGATGTTTTTGTAATGTCTGTATTAGCCTGCTCTGCAAGAGATGACTCAGTTGGTGTTGTGGGAGGCGTGTCACATCACAGCGTTTCTGTTCCTTGTCATACCATGTCTTAGCCAAGCACACCAGTTCCTGAAGGCCCCCTGTCTGCCAAAGATACCAGTTTCTCTCAGCCCAGAAATTAGACTTAACTGTCCCCCATGAATGCACTTGCAAAAACTATTCATAGCCTCCAACTAAAATGAAGTCGTGGTTGGGGCAAGGAAATGGCGTGATTAGGGCACCCTCTGACAAAGGTCTGCAGGCTTATGCCTTTACCCCTATGGTTCTCAAAGTGAACCCCATGAAGGCCAAGCTTGATGCTGCAGCTTTTGAGGTTGCCTTGTTTCTCTTGGTGTCTGTACTTTAACTTGGTCAGGAGTCATCTTGAGACATTTGATGAAAGCATTATACCATGTTCATAGCAGGAACTTTCTTCTTATTGCATTTTAATTTGTGGGTTTTTTTTTGTTTTGTTTTGTTTTTAATTTTAGAGGCAGCCCATTGCTTAGACTGAGGGTCCTGGGAACTTTCTATTTGAAGGGTGTTTGGCTAGACCATACTTAAAACACTTCCTCAAGCCACTGCTGCAACTGATATGTCACACTTTGTACCAAAATTGCAGGTCCAGAAAGGTGGAAGAGGATGAATATGAAGATTCATCTTCAAATCAAAAGTGGGTCTTGGCTCCCAAATCCCAAGACACGGACGTGACTCTTATTCTAAACAAGTTGCTAAGAGAATATGATAAGAAGCTGAGACCAGACATTGGAAGTGAGTGTTGATGTTTGTTATTCCAATTGAAAATATACTATGATGATATATGTATTTTTAAAATTTTTTAAATATACACTCACAGGATAATAGAGCCAATTCAAGACTATATCTGAAATTACCAGGAGTAGGGAGTATGTGTCTGGTTGCCTGCCCTCATGTGTAGATTTGTGTAATGACAGTTGCAATCCACATATGGAATTGTTTCATCACCATAAAGATCTCCCTCCTTGTAACTCTTTATAGGGGATGTCACTTGGCGAATGTCATGTAATCGTTCAGCTCTTGAGACTTTGAGATTGGCTTTCCTTCCCTCACCAAAAGGATTTTGGGGTCCTTTAAAAAAATTGTGTGTGTAAAATATTTGTTCCTTTTTATTTCTGAGCTCTCCATGCCATGGAGACACCACAGATTATGTATCCATCCACCAGTGAGGGATATGTTGGTTGTTTTTCGTTTTTGTCTATTACAGATCTACTAACTGAACATCTGGGTACAGAATTTTGTGTGGACATAGCTTTTACTCTCTGGGACCAATGTGTTTGAATATGATTGTCATGCCATGTGAGGAAGGAATGTTTAACATTTTAAGAGATTGTCAAACTCTTTTCTAACTTGGCTGCAGCATTTTCTATTCCTACCAGCACTGTGTCACTATTTTGTCATTTAACTGCTTAAGTAGAATAGGTTGCTATCTCCTTATGTTCTTAATTTGCATTATCCTAATGGTTAGTGAAACTTAATTCCTTTTTTTTTTTTTTTAAAAGATTTATTTATTCATACAGAACTGAGCAGAACTGGGGTACAGGCCCTAGAAATGTGGAGGGTGAGAGGATTGACCAGAGACAGAGTGAAGAGAAGAACAGGCAGATCAACAAAGTACAGTGCTGAGGGGAGCAGCGGGCCGGTCAGGAGAGGTCTGCCACACCATGTGGATCTCCTGCAGGGCAGGCGGGATCGAACTCATTTGGAAGTGGCTTAAGCTTCTTAGTGCAGTGTTTTAACCCACTGCGCCACCAGGGAGGGCCTGAATTCTTTTTTTTTTTTTTTTTTAATGCTCACTGGCCATCAGTAAAGCCTTTTCATTGAAGTAGCTTTTCATATTGTATTCCCCTTTAAAAAAAACAGGGCCATTTGATTTTCTTCTATTGCATATTAATAGTTCTTCATATAAACTAGATAGGATTCTTTTGCTAGCTGTAGTTTGCCTTTTTTCCTCTTCAGTCTGTAGCCTGCAATTCACCCTCTTTCTGGGATCTCTAATGGAGAGAAGTTTTTTGATAAAGTCCAATTTATTGATTTTTTTTTCTTTTACATTCTTAGACATTACATTTTCTAGAGTAATGTCTAATAACTTTGCATTAATCCCTAGTTCCTGAAGATCTTTTCCTTTGTTCTCATCTAAAAGTTTTATGATTTTATGTCTTTTTACATACTAATTCACTGTATGTTTTGAATTATTTTTTATGTAAAAGCTGTGTAGTTCAGAACTAGATTCTATTTTAAAGTTTTTGTCCATCAATATCCACTTTTGCCTGTAGATATTGGTTACTTCCAGTGTTGAATTGATTTTGCACATTTGTCAAAAACTTTTGGCTCAGTTGGAGGACTATCTCTGCGTTCTCTATTTTGCTTCATTCACCTACATGGCTGTGATTGTGTCAGAACTTGCTGATTAGTATGTAGTAAATCTTGTTGAGTAATTCTACCTTTTTATTCCTTTTTCAAAAATATCACGAATTTCGCTTCCTCTCTTTCTTCTTGTCTTTCTCCTCTTCCTTCTTTCTTGACCTTCTTCAAGGTAACACTTAGATTTTTGATGTAAGGCTATTTTTGTTGAAACAGTTAATGATTTAAATTGCCTACTCTATGATGTTTTGTCTTTAATGCACAAATTTTGATATGTTGTGTTTTCACTTCCATTCAATTTGAATTCAGTATATTTTTAAAATTTCTTTTGAGAATGTTTTCTTTTACCCATGAATTTTTAGTACTATGCTTTTAGTTTCTAAGTATTTGAATTTTTTTTGTGTGTGTTTTTTCTTATTGATTTATGATTTGATTTGCTTTTGGTCAGAGAACATATGCTATATGAGTTCAGTTCTTTTAAATTGTTAGTATTTGACTTTTGCTCCCAAGGATTTGTTATGGTAAATGTGTTCTGTTGTTGTTGGATGCTTGGATATTCTTGTTTAGTGATATTGCTAATTTTTTCTATATTTTCTCGGATTTTCTGTCTAGTTTTTCTATCAGTTATCTTAATAGATCAGCAATTACTAGATCTGACAATAAATTCTAATCCAAGAACAAACAAGAGAAGTACGTCTGGCCAGGAGTGAAATGGGTGCAATTGCTGCTATAAGACCACTATCTTGGTGATGGTAAAAAACATGGGGATTGCAGCAACACAGTTTCATAGAATACTCCCAGGCCATGGCTTATATGTTCTTCTCACAGGACTCAGTTTCATCTAGAACTTGCCAATCAGCTTGCCAATCCTCACACTACCTGAACCTCCCGTCCCTCTGTGGAGATCCCAGTTCTCTACTTTATATATAGCAGGGCCTAGAAGTTATCTGGTTACAAGAGGCATTGAATTTTAAAAGCCTCCAGTATCATGTACAGATGCATGTCCCATGCAATATTGGAATGGTTACATCATCTTTCTGTGTCTCATTGCCTCTTCCATTCAATGAAGTAAAGGGACCAAATTACTCTTAAACTTCCTTACTGCTTTAAAATAGTTATTCAGTGAGTGACTCATCTAAGTTACCATTGAACAAGGTTCTTATACTCCATTGTCATCAGTGTTTTTCCTTCATAACTATATGAAATTTCTATCCAGTGTGAAGCATGTACAGCAATTCTACATTTAGATGGAAAAAGATGATTCAGAAAATGTTATAAATTTCCTCAGACACCATGGTTGATCTTAGAGCAAAAATAAACAAGTTATTAACCTTGTGGATAAGTCTAGTCCAGTTGGGCCTTTGTTTATTCTGTGCTAGAATGCACCAAAACAACTTCCATTCATGGTATACTTTGGATGGTATTACTTCACCTCCTCTGAGGTAGCAAATTAAACATGGGTAGAAGTGGGTGAGCTTATTTCCAACCCAGATCTCTCTGATTATGTATCTGGATCATGTAGCTACTGCATTATTTATAGAAAACACAAGATAAAAACATAAAAAAACAAAAAACAGGGCACCCCTTTCTCACAGACACAGCACCTTTGGAAGGGCACATACTGAGGCTTTGTCATACACAAAAGGTAGGCAGAATTTATGATCTCAGATTTCATTTTTCTTTATGTATGTGAGGAATTGTGAATTTTCCAAATGAAATAGCACACATACACACTTAAGATCAAATGCTTTTTTTAGATATAGGCAACCCTACTAAAGGTTTATGTCATTTAGTCCTCAGAAGTCATATCAGAAAGCTCAGTAGTTTTGGAGTGAGTTTTAGAAACACCTAAATAATCAGGATGCTCCTTTTTGGCTTCATGATGTCAAAGTTTCACTGTACATGCTGTCATGGTCCTTAAGGTAGGAAAGTGACCTAATGCAAGACCCCATGGTCACTGGGATATTTAGGATTCTTCTTCCTGTCTCATATAAATGATAAATAATGTCTGGCACAATTCAGAAACTTGCTGATATTCAATCATACTAAGTGCCCCAAAACAGCTGTTCTGGTGAAGAGACTGAATTGGACACCATTTCCTTCATGGCTTAGAAGGACTCTGCTTAAAGGAGAATTTCAAAAAAAATCTGAATCAATTTATCTTATATAACCTGATGCTGTGCATGGATTTACTATTAGTTTACTATAATTACCAGATTTTTTTTCTCACTTCCTTTATCACATCCGTCCTTTTTCACACACTCAGCCTGTGTCTGCTGAGCAATCTCTGCACCAAACCCAGGGCAAGAAGATCCATTAGGCAGCAAGGCCATGGGTTCTTCTGATGGTGTGTGAAGGAAAAGAGGTCTCCACATAGCATTAGGAGTTGATATTGGAGTAAAGCAAGCCAGTTAAGGTACCCCATGGATTAAATCCTTCAAACCTTCACGTTGTTTCTATGTTAAAGTTAAAGTGCATTCAAGGAACACAAAGAGGCAGCCCTTATTTGGCCCTTGGCTACTTCTTTTATTTCCAGATACACTGTCCCCACATATTTTACCCTTTGGGGACTCCAGCCTTCCCATTGTCCTCCTCATATCACTTTTACTTTTCTCTTATCCCATCTTGTGACTCTCTTCCCTTTCTCCCTTTGCTGTGTGGGGTTCAATTTCGACCCTCCTTCAAACCTCAACATCATCTCCTCTGAGTGCCTGCTTTCCTGACCAACATCTCCCTTATGTCACCAACAGGGTGGGGCAAATACTTGTTCCTACAGTTTTTCTTCCAGCATCAGTTTCATCTCTAAAGGGGGAAATAAGACTTTTTGAAGGACTTGAGGTTAACATGATGTGGTTTGACTATGAAGCAGTTCTGCAAACTTCTGTGTAGTTTCCATTTTTGCAGTTGAGAATTGATGTTTTTCCCCCAGGACACAGTTCCCAGTTTCTAACTATAGATACATCTGTTTACATTGGCATCTCCCAATGTACAGAGTCCAACTGCCTCCACAGAGATCCCACATCAGGAAGTAAGTTAAATGGCTCATCACTGTCATTGTCAACAATAAATAGAAGGAATCAAACACATTCATTTACATGGCATATCCACATGGAATCCTCTAATTAGTTTTCATAATATAAATTGTGATCATATGTTTTAAAAATACTCACTAAACTGTTAGCTATTATCTCTCCTCAACTAACTTCTAAATTATGAATATGTCTGTTTTAGTTTCCCATCTTTAACTATCCATCCATGATTCTCAGTAATACTTCTGCTGTATCCTTTACTAGTTCAGGGTTTTAGAGAGTGTCATTTATCTCAGGAACAGATTGTGTCATGTGAGCTTGAAAAGCCTGGAGGAGGATAGC